TAATTCAAATTTGTGCATTCATCGTTGTTTTGTGTAGCTATAATTTGTTTATTTGTTGTTCTTTTTATGCCTCCGACGCGACGACAACGAAACATAAACAGGAGGCGTAATCGTGATAACGACCGCAGCTACAGAAACAGAACAGTGTGGTGCGTAATAGGCCTATCACAGTCAGCACCTGACTCTGGACAAACTCAACTATTAGGTTACAAATGCGCCCTTTAACACTACCCCAAAACGACTTTTCGTTCTCAATTAGTCCTCTATCATGACCTGTGTTGCCTGTACAGCGAGGCATTTTAAGAAGGAGAAAACCGGCCGAAATGCTTTAGGTTTATCAATAACGAAGATAAACATGGTCTGAGTTACAGTACACACCGGTAATCTTATTGAGTTGAGTCTTTTAAACACATTGTAAATATGACTGTTATTCGTTTTGAAATAATTCCTGTAATACTTTGCAATTGCTCGAATTCGAGCAACATGTACACTAGTTCTATTTAAATAGGGAATAAATGTGATATTTTTAAGGAGACAATTTAGTGTAAATCCAATCAGGCAAATGGAAATTCGCTTAGTCTGCAGGTTTGCTGTGGCGGGGGTATTTAACTGTGCACTTGAATACAATATGAAGGAATGGCTTAAAACAAACCCAAAAAATATTACTGTTGGAACAAAAAAAAAGATGACATAAAGTTAAACTGTTTAGGATTTGCTGACGATCTGGCTCTTCTAGCTAATGACATCTAAGAAACCAAGCAACAAATAAAATCACTTCAGGAAATAGCCCAGAGCATAGGCCTAAAAATTTCTTTTGAGAAAACTGAAATAACTAGTTGTTTCCAGGTAATAATATTACCTATATTTTAATATCATTAAAAAATGTAAAATAACCTTTTAACCTATCACTACGAAAAAAAGAAGAACTTTTAAGAGCTTAACTTTTAACTAACCATAAATAAAAATCTTAAGCTCAATACTGTTTTAATAAAGGTTCTAACAGAGTAGGCTTAGAATACTGACTGACAGACCAGTTAAAATGTTCATCTTACTTTTAAAATGTTAAATAAGAAACTCTTCCCATACTATGTTTCTTGTAAACACTCTAACGTCTTTAGCCAGATAACCTTGGTTTCGTTGTTCTTTAACCATTATTGATTCGCCTATTGGGTCTGATGATGATAGGAGTGTCCAATCGAAATCGATCACCACTTACCATCTTTTTTGTATATTTACCGTCTTGTGAGTAACAGTATAAGCGTAAATATATGTTTTAAGTGTTATAAGACGTTTCTTTTATTTACTTTCTGAATTAAACTGCACAATAAACTATCCCATTCCATCAGTCATCCTTGTATTTGAAAGTAAACTGATAAATAAACAGAAAAAGTAAATATTAAAATGACAAAAGGGAAAGAGGTTATTTTTATGAAGACGGATGTTTTTTTTTATGAATCATATGTTTGATAAACTTAACTAAATTTTCACTTATATTTAAAAATACATGGCAACTTTAAAGTCCAATGGGGCGAAGCACATTGAACTAAGCGTGACAAAAATTATTCCATGACTTTTGCAGATAATTCCCTTTAATTTGACACATCAATCATAAAAATCGGTTAATAAATAAATGAGTTTTGCTGTGCACAAGAAATTCCTTACGGAATTAGAATAATAGATGTTAACAAAACCACCATTGGCTAACAAAATCAAAATTGGAGAACATTGCATCAAAATTGTAGACAATTTCAAATACTTAGGTGAAGTTATAACATACAATCTTAAAGAAAATCCATCATGGCAAAATAGAATTAATAAACTGATCAGAATGCAACATATTACTAAAAACACATACAACAAAAAATGCCTATCAATAGCAACAAAATTGAAACACTACAAAGCAGTTATACTTTCACAAATAACATATGCAAGTGATACTATATTTAAAACAACTAACGTAGCAATAGATAAAATACTAAAAATAGAAAGATGAGAATCATCAGAACATGTATAAACAAAAAATATCAAAAAGATGGAGTTTGGAGACTGGCCTCAAATAAAACTGTTTATAAGGAAATAGAGCCATTGACAAGTATAATTAAAAGAAAATAATTTCATTCATTGGACATCTTTTAAGGACACTGGAAAATTGAATAAGCAAGAAAATAATTGACAAGTTGTGGAATAGCAAGAGTGACTTCAGGTGGATTACGGAGATTAAGGAGGACATGAGAAGGTTGAAAATATCATTAGAAGATTTGGAAAATAAGTCAGAGGCGCTTGCAGTACTCAAAGACAAAAATATCATCCTGCCAATAGGAGCAAACAATCAGAGACAAGGAAGAGTGGTTTCGGAAGAAGAAAGAAAACAACGGTCGGAAAGAATGAAGAATGATTACTAGAGGTTAAAATACCTTATAATCCGTCAGTGTGATCAAAAAGTCACCGATGAAAGGCGACCGGTTTCAACCCATCAAAGGGGTCATCATCAGGCGTTGAATGGACACATAATTACTCCGAAGAGGTCGTCATAAAGTCAATAAACACAAAACGAAGAACAGTTAAAACACTTAAACACATTTTTTACAAAAAAACGTGTGGCCACAAATTGACTGCGCGGCGGACGGTATGTGCACATTGAGTTACAAGTCCAGACTGTTGTCACTGCCGTTTTGTCCATCTGTCATCCTCCTCCCCTTCTTCCAGCTCTTATCAGGTCCTTTCCGTGTTGTTATCATTCTTTCAATGCCGACTGCTGTTTCATTTCAACAATAAACAAAAAGCTACTTGTTATGCTAATTCTCTTTTTTTTACCGACGTTATGCGAGGCAGCCGAAGGCAGCGTGCGCTAGACTATTCCGTATACAAGTGGCTACGGACAGAAACGACTTCGTCTAAAGACAGAAACCGGCGCTGCAACACATACAGGTATTGAACTAAGACAAGCGCAACTGCCGATAGAAGTCTATAATTGGTTCCTTAGTCTATGCTTAAAGCTTATATGTAATCGCTTAAAAATGGTACAAGCAATCTCCGTATGGAAAAAAAAAACCTTAACTATTCATCCTTTAACAATAGATAGCTAAACTGCAATCATCCCACACTGCTAATAGCAACACTCAAACTTAGTTAGGTAAGCTAGTGGTAGGTTACAACTTCTGTGACCGATTCAGTGTAACATCTGACATCAGTCAGAATCAGACGACATTATTGACAACGACACGACTCAACAACCAACGATAAGAGTAATTTAATAATGATAATTATTATTAAAAGCATAAAAAATTAAAAAAAATTAAACATATCGCTCGTTTATATTGGCAAAAGTATTACCATAAACAGTAATAAAGTTGAAAGAAAAAAAGTTGTAATAAAAAAACTTAGTTAGGTAAGCTAGTGGAAGGTTACAATTAATTATTAAATCCCTGTGACCGATTCAGTCTGACATCAGTCAGAATCAGACAACATTATTGACAACGACACGACACGACAACCAACGAAAAGAGTAATTTAATGATGATAATTATTATTAAAAACTTTAAAAAAAGATGTATCGCTCGTTTATATTGGCAAAAGTATTGAATAAACTGAGGATATTATAATTATATTTATATATAATTTATATATTAAAATATTATATATATTTAATACTGTGAGTGTTAAATAAAGCTGAGGATGATATAAGAACAGTTTTTTTTTTTAATGGATTAGAAACTCATTACCCTGGAAAGTTTTCTAATGTAATACAAATTCTTATACATAAAACAATTTAATGAACTGGAGCATAGTCAAGTCGTTCTCTTTCTCTCTGTCTCAAGTTGACAAAATTGTATTTCAAAGCTAATACACATCAGAAGTAACAGTTAGTTACCTCGGAAAGTGCTTCAAGAGCTTTCTGTGCATGCGCAAGCTGAGGTGCCTGTGGGTACAGAACGTCGAATTATGTCTTAAAATGTAAACAAAATGACAAAAATGGCGGAATGTTTTCCCATGAGGCCCATGTTAAATTTTCAAAAGTTTGTACTCAAATTATAACGAAAATAGATTTTTCCTGGCTATACCACTGGTCTAGAACTTATTTTTGACACAGAACTTAGTTATTCTGTAAATATAAACGTTTTTGTTAGAGCCGATTCCCAGATCGAAGTATCAAGTATTCAAACTTTACTCGTATTATATATAGGATAAACCACGATCAGCTGTATTGAAGTAAACAAAAATCAGCAGTAAATGGCTTCTAATGCTATTCTTATCTACGTTGTATCTAATTTTGTGTTAACATTTGGACCCTACATAGAGATTGGGTGGATCAAAACGTTATAAAAAAGGACTTTGAAGTTAAGTACTGTATTACCCTAAATACTGAACGGAACAGCGCCAAATTTATTTCCAAGCTTATTCTTGAGCTTCTCTTTAAGATAACTTGTAGTAAATGAATTTTCCATGTTATTTTCTAATTTTAAAAAAATCTCAAATTTGAAGAATAAAAGAAAGCTGAAAACTCAAAATTCTTAAATAGCAAGGTATAACAGATTTCATATTATTTTAAAGGTCCTTTAAACGTTTTATGTATTTAAGTTTTCTTTCTATCTCTTACCGTAAAAATTGTAGTAGAAAAACATAATTTTATATGGTAAAATTGTAACTAGTTTTATAATAAAACAGCTAAAATTTTGTTCTAGACACATTTAATGGTGTATTAACTGAAGGAAACAATTCATAATTATTGATAGAAAGATAGACAAACAAGTTATTACGTTTTACTTTGTGAAAAACAAGTCTTATAGCTGATGAGAAAAACCCAAACGTGGGCCGCTTTCTGTAGTACCATTGACTAGTATTACCATTGACTAGTCAATGGTAATACTAATTTCAAAAGTACCTACTATTGTTTGCAAGTACTTAAAAAGCAAAGCACTTTAAAAAATATACATTATTTTGACTTATTGGGTAGAACAAAAGTGTGCTATAATATTAGTAGGATGATAGATGGAAAATACCTTATCAAAAACTTCACCAGGAGCATCATCCAGGTTTTTCCCTAGTAGTTGAAAGTGAGTAGCAGACTGAGCCACAGCCAGAAGACTGTGACCACCCGACACCAACAACACTATGAACGGGAACTCCACCTGCCAACAATCGATTTGTATACTTCCTTTACAAATATACATTTCAATAAGACTTTAGGAGAACTAATATAACATACAGATGATAAGAATAAATATGCTAGACCACACTCATTTACCAGTTCTAGTTTATGAATTCAAAGAATTTTATGAACTGCCAAAGTAGTTTTTAAACCCGTAAAAGATCTATTTATACCATGAGATGGAACCTCAAGAAAATTTTTACATCCAACACACAATTTAGACATAGCATTGGCTATGACATAGTTAGAAGTGGTATAACCATTTTCCATTGATTGATTTCTTAAAGTTTAGTGTCCATCTTTATTAATTTCACGTGAATGTAAATTTTAAGTGCTCAAAAACTTAAAGTTCCGAAGCTATTTTTCTCTCTTGTTTCAGAGCTCGGTGTATCATCATTTTTAATATTTTAATCTTCACCTAAAGCTGTTTCCTCCATGACATTGTCATGAAATTGCAAAATTTTAGCAGTTAGAAAGCAGTTTTAGGATCATACCTCTTCCATCATTCTCACAGTTAGTGCATGTGCTTCCATGTGATGAATTGGAATAAATGGTTTTTTGTAAACTTTTGATAAATACTTTCCATACTTCATTCCAATCAGTAATGATAGTGACAGACCTGGAACAAATTGTAACAAAAATGTTAAGGTAAGAGCACAGGCCACCCCTAGAGTGGCACACATGAAAATGGTAAGAAGGATAACTCTAAGCTAACCATGACTAAAAATATTGTTAGTATGGTTGGTTACCTTACAATAAGGTGCCAACTTTCCGGTGAAAATGGGATTTCCTCATTATTGTTGCCTCTTTAGTAACCAAAAATTACCCTGGCTTGCGAAAATATCCATTATTAACATTGACTTAGCACTCTTATCCAAGGAAAATCTGCAAACATATTTAGTGTAACGGTCGGTCGGTATTTCCCTCCTTGAAGTACCCACTGTTACTTTCGGTGACGTACTTCAGGAATGAAACTCTGCACTTGCTTACAAAACTCAAGTTTATTAATACTCAAAACAATACAAAGATAAGTAACAAACAAATAGGTAGAGTAGACCGGAACTGTATGAATCATTTGGTTAGAAACTGAAACCCCAATTTGGAAAAAAGACTCTTAAACCCCAATTTTTAAAACCCCTAACATTTTCTTACCTGGACCCAAGGCCAAAGGGCCTTGGGCTCCAGCTCCCCCAGCAGGACCCCGTCCTCTCTGGCTCACCACACAAACACTACCCACCAAAACTGACCCCCTGATCAAATGCACTGGCCTACTTAAAGCAACAGCCTTCAGTAGGTCAGCACAACATGTTACTGTTTAACAACACTCCCAGCCTACTCACACAACATTGCCAAACACTTCCTGCTTACAATATTTGACCCCTTCCTTTACAGTAGTATGGTACTAACCATTTCCGGACAAGTAATGGATATATCTACTTAGCCTAATGATTTGTAGGATGTTGACGACGGGAAGCAGATATTTCTGCCAATTCTGTAGACAGACTGGTCAATGTTTGTAAATAGTAAATGGCTAGTTTGCGCTTTTATCAAGCAACTAGCAGTTTTGTGGACTTCACTCACCTTAATTTGTTATCCAGGACTTGTCAAATTGTTCACACTATGAATACAATTACACATATATACACAAACTTAAAAAATCGTCCTTGGATTATTCCGACGTTTCGCAGGATCAAAATAACGTGCCGCTTCCTCAGGGAATTAAAACTTTATTTCTCTCGTGTACGCGAGCAAACCGCCTAACCACGACTGCCAAATCAGCTGTTCCTGGTGAGGAGGGGAGGGCAGGGGGGTTGGTGGACGTACTGGTTATTGAAGATAAGCCTTTCACATATTTTGCCTTATCTCTCAGCTGTTCTAGTTCTCCTTTTAGCGAATTTCCCATATAGGGAATAAGCTATTACCGTAGTACTCATGGTAAGACCTTGACCCGGGACCAATATAATTTTTCATTTTGAGGTCCCTAGAGGCCAAAAACACCATCCGTTCAAATTCATATATATATATATATTTATATATATTTATATATATATATATATTTATATATATTTATATATATATATATATTTATATATACATATAAATATATATATATATATTTATATATATATATACATTTCATAGAACAGTATTAACAGTATGTGTCCGTTAGCGCGATAACTTGAGCAAAAATGATCCGATTTTGATGAAATTTGGTATTAACGTGTAAACCTACATTTATTCGAACGAGTTCGCGAACCAGCATAATCGGACCATGGTAACGGGGGTTTATGGGGTTTTTATGGGGTAAAATGGGTTTTTCCCATTTTTTACCCTAAAAACAAAGAATTTTGCAATTTATTTTTAAACCGTTTTGTAGAGCTTAAAAAAAGAAATAATTTAGTATATTGAAGCGCTGTTGTAATTTTAAATTCCCATGTTATTCTTATGAAAAAAATTAAAACTGTTGTAGTTTACTTGTTTATGGATATATGTTGATCAAATTTGTCAAATTTATTTATTTCATCCTATACTATTGACGTTTGGTCAAAAACACTTTTTACCTTCCCTGTAGCAGCAAACCTAAACACTCGTTTAATCTAATGTTATTTAAATTGGTAATAAATATGTCTTATTCATGGAAATATTTTAGTAATAATGTAATCAGACAAGTTGAAATTCGCTCAGTCTGCAGGTTTGCTGCGGCGGGGGTATTATTACTTGTAAACAGGGCCGTACCTAGGCTGTGGCGAAGGTGGCCCCTGCCAAGGGTGCAGGTTAGACTAGGGCACAAAATGGGCGCCGGTTGGACAAGGACGCAAAATGGGAAAGAGGGACAAATTTTATTTTTTTTATTGATGAGCTAGATGATTAAAAGTATAAATTGACGTTTTACATTACACTTATGTTACGGTATAATAACGGTTATGTGAACTTATTTAGTGTTGTTTAATTTGATTTATTGAATTATAAACAATTATTACAATGTGTACCGATTTGTCGTATTTTACAACAAATTAATATGAGTAGACGCAAACAGATAGTCAGCTGATCGAACAACAGGCAACGTACCCACAGTGCACTACGAGGAGTGGGGATGAAATTGGCCAGCCAGGGACCGGTCCTCGTCGAGCAGTTGTTACCTTCCCTTCCTGCGAGCTATTAGGTGAGCTATCGAAATCGATCGTGCAAATTAAATTCAATCCGCGGTGTTTTTCTGGACAATTCTTATTTTCATCAAATCGTTAAGCCTATATCCCGCAGGGATATAATTGCCGCGCGAGGTGTAAATAGAATCAGTTTTGAAAAAGAAAGTGTTGTAAAGTAACTTTACCTGCAAACACAGACCGCCATTGGAAATTTCACGTTCGTTGACCAAATCATTCAATCGTGTTTTTTGGGGAAAAAGCTCACCTAATTTCGTATTCCCCTCCTATACCCCAGTGTTTGTATCATTGTAGGACGTCCGAAATTTGTAAGTAATTAATGTTATTTATTGTTATAATTAATTGTAGGGTTTCAGTGAGTCACACATGGTGTAGAATTGTCCTGTTATATTTTGTTAAATCTTTTGTATAAGCACATGTTTCCAGGACCAAGCTCTAACTGGTGATTTTTAAATCCATTTTTAGCATAACAATCTGTATCATTTAGTAAGCTGTGATAATCCTATGGTATTAAAGATAAATAGTTGAAAATGTTTTTGTAGGGTAATTCATAGTTACTTTATAAGAATTTTATAGTAGTAGAATTTATTGCAGAATCATTATTGAATTTCATTTTTGAGTTGTAGTAAAAAATCAGTTAAGAGTGCAACAGCCATTATTTTATTTGGGGAAAAGTTAAATATTATTGAAAGTAAAGGTAGGCAGCTGGTTCGGCTAGACACGGAGGTGTTAATTGGGGTAGTGTGTGTTTTGCGATAAATGAACCGCCAAAGTACCTTTTAGTTATAAAATAATAAGTAATCTTCTACCATATATTACTGCGCTTAAACAGAAACACTGTTTAACCTGGTTGGACTACGAGACTCGATCTTCTTTTTTTAAATCGTTGGCCAACAAAGGATTTGTAGGGTACTGGTCATCTCAAAAAAATTAAAGTAAATATCACACCTCATTTGGCAGATTCGGAGTCAGTGTGTAACCGCGCCATATACTTCCCTTTCAATGGGTCCATTCACCATTTTTTAATTAAAGTTTATAATTGATTGTTGCACTCGAAACCGGTTTTCAGCCATTACGTTATATTGTTAGTAGATTACAGATATTCATTAATTAGACATTGAAAGAAATATTAAAGTGTAAATTGTTTTATTCTGCATAATTAATTGAATTGTTATATATTTTCATAGTTCACAATATCCTGGGTTTTTCTTTTTAGCATTAATAGTCATTCAATAGAAGGTTGGTAAAATACAGCAAATAAAAGGCCACTACAAAAGATTCACGTTTGAAGTGCAACACTAGATTTAGTGTGGTAGTGAGCAAAGTAAATTCAGTGTACTTTAAGATTTATTAAGATTTATTTCAGTCTGGAAGAACTTCAAACAGTGCCATAAGGATCTCTGGGAATAATTTTATTCTACAGGGCCCACTCAAATATTATTTTAACATCTGTTGTTTATTTTATTCACAGTTCTTCCAACCCAGGGGCAATTGTAAAGAATCAATTGTGGTAGAGTCATAGTGAGAATTACAAGGAGAGTAGAACATATATTTAAATACATATTTAAATATATAAGTTAGAGTCAAGGAGTCTTTTTATTTTTTTTTATTTTTCTTTACAAATGTCAACCATTGTAGTTGTACAGAAAAATGGGCACGGGGACGTTCTTGCTAGGCCCAGCGATAAGCACGACACTATTTTCATGTTAAAGTGTTCGTAACAACAGTATTTGGTATTTTTGAATTTCAACAGTCGAGAAGTGAGTTGGTAGTCACTAGTTGAGTGACTCGTTTGGAAATGAAAGCGGCAACACCGCACGAAATACCTAAATGACATAGTTTTGAACATCACAGCGCAGAGCGGCTTGCGAGCTTCGAGCTAACCTCTCACTCTAAATTCTGGATCCTTTTCTCAGCAAATAAATCTAAATTTCAACTCAATCTACCATATTTCGAGAAACTGAGGTAAACTGCCATAGCTCCATACGACCCGTAGAGATTGAGGTTATGCCGTAATCTTAGTGATTGCAAAAGTACCTTGTTTAAGGAGGTTGGTGCACCAAAAAGAATTTCCAAAAATGATTTTATACTGCCATTTTGTAGTCTGAAATTTCCAGTTTCTAACAATATACGTAACAGTAAGTTATTTTTTATTATTTTTTTTAACAAAGTTTTATTTACAATCTGTTTTACATTAAACAATAAGTAAATATGATGACATTTATATAAATACTAGCAGAGTACCCGTCCTTCGTACGGGAGTGGCATATAAGTAGGCTATAAAATGCCTAGTACAGTTATACTCAAGCTTAGCGTTTGCAATGAGGGAGGACAAAGTATGATAAAATTTGCTTCTTTAAATTTACGGTATACTATAGTATTACACATCTACCATAGCCATAATGTTCTACCACTTCACCCAAACAATAGAGAAAAAAATTATTAAAGATTCACA